TCAGATTTAAAAAAATTCTTTTTTCTTTTTAACTAAATGTATTGGGGTGAAATCGCTTAATAAAATTATGTAAGTTTCAAGCGTACAGTGCTGATACATCATCTGTATGTTGCCTTGTGTGCCCACCACCCAAAGTCAAATCTTCTGTCACCAAATATTTGACCCCTTTACTTCGCTCGAACCCCCTTCCCTCTGGTAACCACCATACTGATGTCTGTGTCTACGAGTGTTTTTTTTTTCTGCATAGATGATTTTTATAAACAATAAAATGCTATGCCTCCATTACAAACCTTTCATATTGAAAGGATCTCTAACATGAACTGCTTTAATATTAATTATGAAGCAAAAAAAGTTTAAGAACCTCACAGTGGGAACAATCCAACACCGGCAAACTCTAATGATGAGACATTCTCTTTTAATGTGAAACCAACACAATTCATAATTGCAGAGAGAATGTCCCAGCTGTGGGTGTTAGGAGACACGTTAACTTTCCAGACCGAGGCACTCACTGCCAGGGATGCAACAAGCTCTGACCAAACCAGCCACGTGGGGTTGGTTCCTTGAAAACAGCGGCCACCTACTGTTCAGCCTGAGCAGCCCCAGGACACACGGAGCGAGCAAAACCGTCCCTTCTCTTTCAACCCACCGCGCACACGTGGACTGCCGCCCTCCTCACACTGCGCAGGGAGTGTGCGGAGAGCAGCTCCGTTCTAGTTGGGAGCTGTCGCCCCCTCCGCACAGCGGCCACACGGATGGTCCAGACTCCGCGTTTTGCCTGAGAGCCGCCTGCCACACATCCTCACGAGGTGGCCATGACCGGGCACTCCCAGACTGCTTCCTGACGAGGCCCCGTTTAAGACGGACACGAGGGCGCCATTCTTTCCAGGGCCACAGAACTCTCCTTGGTCCACTCTGGAGCCCCGTGACAAGCAAGAGGACCCCGAGCCCCTCTGCTGCTGGGCCTGGGTGGGGCGCAGGGCCTGGGCGCCCCTGCAGTGCGGTGCTGGGCTTCACCAGCCGGTTCCTGTGCAGATTCCCAGCCCCCGCTGAGTGTTTTTTTTTAAAGAAAACAATTTATTTAGCATAACTATGTTCCAAATATTGTACTTATCTAGAAAGTTAGCCATTATTTACCTGACATTCGAATGTAACTGGGTGTCCTGTATTTTTGCCAAATCTGGCCACCCTGGGCCCAGAGTGGCGGCTGCCGCGCATGCCTCGGTCTCCCCAGAGCACCACAATCGGGCCGGGGCACCCAGCTCGGTCCTGGCGTTTCACAGGGGCGACGGGGGGCTGCTCGGTTCCCATCTGAGATGAGGAAGCTGGTGCACAACGAGGCCTCCCCCGTGAGTGGCTACCCAGTGACATGGTGAGCAGCTGGGGTTTGAACTCAGGCCCCCACAATTCGCAGCTGGATGAGGATTTGCTGCCCGCCTCCCTGAGTCTGGGGTCTCCCTCTCCTGGCCTGGCCTTCCAACCTCCCTTTGGCGATCGCTCACAATGGGGAACTCCTTCCCCCCCGGGGCCCTCTTAGTCTCAGGTCACCAGCAGAGGTTCTGGGGAAGAATCCCCCGCCCCCCGACCCCCCACCTCCTGGGGTTTCACAGACCCCCTCTCCGGCCCGGGAAAGGAACCCTGACCGGGCCAGGGGGCTGGACCATGGATGTCCATTGAAGCTTGAGAGCTTCTGTCTGGGGCTGTGGAAGAACTCAGGCCAAACAGTGGAGAAGGGCCCCCAGGGCCCAGCCCCCACCCCCTGGCCCTGTTCCTCTTCCCACCTCCCCCAGATGCTCCAGCTCCAACGGCTGTAGCCAAGCTGTCGCAAGAAGCAACGTTCTCCTGACCAGGAGCAGGGTTCACGGGGGGCAACCAACGGATCCATCGCAGGAACAAGTGGGTGGGGGCATGGAGGACACCCGGAGCCAGGGCTGGAGTCCTGTTTGTCCCTGGGCCTCCCTCTCCATTTGTGCCACAGGCAAACGAACCCCCATATTCTCACCATTGAGGGTGATGGCCCTGCTTTCCCAGAGCCTGGGACACAGCAGGCGCTCAGTGCTCACCCTCATCCCTCCCTTCATCGGATACATGTCACCTGCCCTCCTACCTGCTTGGCAGGGTCCCCACCCCATTGTGTTAAATTTGCCACAGAGCATTTAGTAAGCACCTACTGTATACACAGCCCTGTTTCCAGTCCAGGGATGAGGGAGAGTGGAGGAAGCCATGTCTTGGGGGGGTGGGGGGAGGAGGCTGTGGCTCAGACAGGGAGACCCCATTTAATCAAAGTTGCATTTATTGAGCATCACCTGTATACTGTGTACACACATCTCATAGTGGTCAAGCCTCTGGGTTCCACTCTGGGTTCCTATCCTGCTTGGCCACTTGCCTTCTACATAACTTGAGGACACTGACTTAACCCACTGACTTAACCCACTGACTTAACTGTCTGTGCCCGTTTCCTTGTCTGTAAAAGGGAAGTTATAACAATAGACTCCATTGTATAGGATTATCCCAAGATGAAGTGAATGAACGTTGGCCAAGTTCTTAGATAAGAAAGTGATGTTAACCATTAACCACCTCCAGGCTGGGAGGCAAACTGCTTGGCTTCTCATTTGCAATCAGAGTCGTGGTAACACTGGCCACACCTGCGTAATGAGTAACGCGTCTTCCAAATAAGACACCTGCACTTTATGGACCCGAGTTACCCTGCAGTGATTCGAGCATCTCTCCCTCCGCTGGAGACTGGGCACCTCTGAGCTGCAGGGACTGGCTCCCCCTGCCTGTGGCCCCGAGCAGCACAGACCCACACACCCCTGGGGTGTGTGTGGGGGAACCCCTTGCTCCCTGAGGCCTCCCGATTTGCAGGCCTGACCATCCTGCTTGTTATTCTCATGAGCTCCTCATTTCCTGAATCTACCCCAGGGTCCCCGACCCCTGATCCTCAGCTCCCAGTGTTGGGTTTGATCTTTGCGGTGCAGAGCTTCCCTGAGCCACCTTTCACACACGAGCCCAAAAAACTAGCAAACATCTCTTGTTGGATTTTTGTGGGCCTTTCTGTTCCCTACACTCCCTCTAGCACAGGGGTCCTCAACTTTTTAAACAGGGGGCCAGTTCACTGTCCCTCAGACCGTTGGAGGGCTGGACTATAGTTTAAAAAAAAACTATGAACAAATTCCTATGCACACAGCGGTGGCAAAAACACCCGGCGGGCCGGATAAATGTTTTCGGCGGGCCGCATGTGGCCCGCGGGCCGTAGTTTGAGGACCCTTGCTCTAGCACAGTGGTTCTCAACCTTCCTAATGCCGCGACCCTTTAATACAGTTCATGTTGTGGTGACCCCCAACCATAAAATTATTTTCGTTGCTACTTCACAACTGTAATTTTGCTACTGTTATGAATCGTAATGTAAATATCTGATATGCAGGATGTATTTTCATTGTTACAAACTGAACATAATTAAAGCATAGTGATTAATCACAAAACAATATGTAATTATATATGTGTTTTCCGACGGTCTTAGGCGACCCCTGTGAAAGGGTCGTTCGACCCCAAAGGGGTCACGACCCACAGGTTGAGAACCGCTGCTCTAGCAAACCTCTTTCACCCCCAGCGCTGTGGGGTTTTTATAGAAACCACTTCCCTGCCTTGAGCCCCTGGGAAGTGCAGGGAACCCCCAGCACCGCCCTGCCGCTCAGCGTGCATTTCCCAGGATTCAGCTATGTCCCCCGTCTTAGCACAGATGTGCTCCGGGCGCTGCTGCCATAGACCAGTCCTCGCACTTACCCTGGGCTAAGGTGTAACAGAGTTGCAGAAGGGGCAGGCCGGGAGTTCTCACTCTTATTGAATTGTATGCTGACACCAGGCGGTGGGAGAAGAAAGCAATAAGGAAAGAGCTTCCTTCCAGGTCTGTTTGTCCTGTGAGCAGGTTGGGCCTCTCTCTGAGCCTCATTCCCATGGCTACTTGCCTGCTGGCCAATGATCTCTACCTCTTCCTGTCCTCAGGGCTGGTCTCTAGCCCCCACTCCCCCCCATTCTTGTCTGTGGCCCTGCATGCTCCAGCCCCACCACATGCCTGAACTCTCCTTCCCCAGCCCCTTGGCCGTCTCCATTCCAGCCACACCGAACCCTTCCTGTTCCTCTGCACTTGATGAGCCTCCCTGGGGGTGGGGGGTGCTTTTCTCTTCATGCTCCTGCTCAGGCACAGCTGCCTTCTCCAGGAAGCCTCCCTAACAGCCATTCGGCCAGCCCCCGGCTGAGTCAGGAGCCCCACAGGCCTGGGCACTCCATGTTATTATTATTTTTTAAATACATTTGTATTGACTTCAAGAGGAAGGGAGAGGGAGAGAGACATAGAAACATCCATGATGAGAGAGAATCATTAATCGGCTGCCTCCTGCACGCCCCCCCCCCCCGCCCCGGGGATAGAGCCCGCAACCTGGGCATGTGCCCTGACCGGGAGGGAGTGGAACCATGTCCTCATGGTTCATAGGTGACGCTCAGCCACTGAGCCTCGTCGCTGGGCAGCACTCGTGTTATGACAGCCCGGTCCTCCGGCAGCCCCCGAGCTGGAGACACAGAGCCCACACGACGCCCCATCCCTGAGGGTGAGGGGGCGGCTCTTGGTCTGTGTGGGAAATGTCTGCGGTGGCTCCCTCTTCCAGACGAGGAAACGGAGACGCAGAGATGGGCAGCGGCTTGCGGGGGCCGCACGGGTGGGGCTGGATTCCACCCACGTCTATGGGCGCTGGGGGAGGGGACCCACTGTGACCCGGGCCCCACACTGGCTCGAGGCTTCTGCTCCAAACCCCCCTCCAAAGCCTGGGGTCTGGAGATTTGGATGCCGGGGACCGTGGGCCACTCTCCCCACGCGGGAAGGACAGACAGGAGCCAGAGGAGGGTTTCAGTTTTTATTGACGTCACCGTGAGGCCGGGCACCGGCTCCCTTCCCCCCATTAGGGCTTGTTCTCTGGCCTCAGCCCGTGGGGGGGCCTGGGGGAAGGGGCTCAGGGGCTGCCCTCACCCCCCACACTTCTCAGCACAGACTGAATCCAGTCCACATAGAGGGCAACTCGAGCGTAGAAGTCCGGGTACTGGCGGTTGGCACACTCCCGAACGAGGAAGGAGTCCACGGCCTGGAGGACGCCGTCGCAGATCAAGGGGCCGCCAGAGTCCCCCTGGGAAGGGCGGGGACAGGCTGGTCATCACCCCGGATGTGGCCGCGTCGGGCAAAGTGAAGCTGGTGGCAGCCCAATGCCAGTTAGCGGTAACGTGTTTCCAGTACGGAATTCTCTTTAAGGCACGTGGGCGACAGAGGGAGATGGGCCACTGGGGGGCGGGGGGCATTTACGGCCCCTGCTATATCCCTGGACCCCTGGAGTGAGCTGGGCGGCTCCGAGAGGGGGCCCCGGAGTGGGAGAATCCCTAGACCCACCGAGGCCACCGGGTGCGACATGAGCACCCCTGGGTGCCTGTGGGAGCCGAGGCTGTTCTCCATCCCTTGCTGAGCCCTCACGATGGGTGAGCCCCTCTTCCCGACAGGAGACCAAGGCACAGCCTGCAGCTGCTCGGTGGGGAGGAGGTGGGTTTGAACTGCTGCCACCCGCGCCCTCCCTCCTGTGGGCAGCTCCTGGAGCCCTCTCTGCCATCCAAAGCGGCCCAGGGCGCTGGCAGCCGGGCAGGTACGTACAAAGCAGATGCCAGCTTTGCGCCGGGGAACGAAGGTGCACACGTTCTCTGGCCGACACAGGAAGGTGACCACGGTGACATTCAGCTCCTGAAGGACCTGGGGCAATGGTTCCATGGTGCCCAGGCGGCCCCAGCCCATGGCCAGGCACTGGGTGCCGTGGGGCAGCAGCTGGTCCTGCTCCGGGAGCTGCGCCACTGTGACCTGGGCGGTGAGGTTGGCAGGGCGGTCCAGCTGGGGCAGAGTGAGAGGAGGTGGGCAGTGAGATCCTGTCTCCAGGCCCCATAGCCACCCCCCTCTCACATCCACTCACGTCCTGACCACCCCAAAGTGCCTCCTCTGGGCCCCCTCCCACTCACTCTCAGGTTCTACCTCAGGGTCACCTCCTCCAGGGAGCCTGTTCTGATTGATCCTCCAAACCCCAGCAGGGCTGTTTTACATTCTCTGACACCATGGGCCTCCCTTTGGCAGCATTTGTCACTGTGGTTTTCATCCACTCACAAAGCCCTCATTGAGTGCCAACTGTATGCTTAGTCCTCCACTAAACCCTCAGGGAGCTGACCTTTCAGGGAGTGGGAGAGGCCAGGAGAATGACAGATGCATTGTCGAGGGAAATGGCGAGATGGTGAACCGTGCATCAGGGGAGGGGTGGCTGTCTTTCCACTAGGGTGAGGGGAGCTCTCGCTGAGAAGGTGAGGTTGGGGGTGAGGATGTTGGGTGGATGGGTGCCGGGCAAGGGGCACGGCCAGGTCAAAGGCAGGTGGGGCAGCCATTTGTGGGGCTATTGTCTGAATGGCCCTCTCCTTACCAGGCCTACTGTGTACCAGGCTATGTCCCAGCACTGGCAGGGGCCTGGCATACAGTAGGTGCTCAATACGTTTTTGCTAAAGGTGAATGAAGGGGTAATTACCGGTCCTGCGGGCTCCGCCCACCCACCTGCAGTAGGAGAATGTCATTGTGCTTCAGCTCTGGGTCATAGTTGTTGGAAAACTGGCGAGTGACGGAGAACTTCTGTTGGCTGGGCTCGGCGTTCCGCAGGTTGTGGGCCCCAAGCACCACCTTCACCAGGGCCATGGGCCTGAGAGGTCAGGGTGCTTATTGTTTGCTCCCCCCATCCACCCATTTCCTTACTCCATGGGCACCCTGAGCACCAGATGCAGCTCCCTCAGTTACAGCCTCCCTCAGACCCAGGGCAGGGCCACCTCCCCCATCAGACCCAGGGCAGGGCCACCTCCCCCATCAGACCCAGGGCTGGGCCTCCCCCATCAGACCCAGGGCTGGGCCATCTCCCCCATCAGACCCAGGGCTGGGCCACCTCCCCCATCAGACCCAGGACTGGGCCACCTCCCCCATCAGACCCAGGACAGGATCACCTCCCCCATCAGACCCAGGGCTGGGCCTCCCCCATCAGACCCAGGGCTGGGCCACCTCCCTCATCAGACCCAGGGCTGGGCCACCTCCCCCATCAGACCCAGGACAGGGCCACCTCCCCCATCAGACCCAGGGCAGGACTGGGCCTCCCCCATCAGACCCAGGGCAGGGCCACCTCCCCCATCAGACCCAGGG